TTAATGAAAGGAGGGGTTGAGGAAAGCCACAGGGGCGCCCTGCCACTGAACATGGCTGATGAGATGAACTAGCTAGCCTTTCAACATTCGTTCTCTAATCAGTGTATTCCTCCACAGGGCAATACAGGGCAGGAGTTTGCAGGTTCAGAATTGGCCTCTGGAGGGCCTGTCTTTGTATCAATTGCAGACAGTTAAGGGGTACTACCCAACTTATTTAGCTTCCCCAGTTAAGAGCCTAGGATGCAGCTATGTCCTCCAGTGCTGCAGTTTGTGACTCAGCAAAATGGACTACGTGAAAAATGGTTTGAGTAGGTGTTTATCTTTTTAAATATAGTTTACTTTCTTACCATTTTCCTTTTGTTTCTAACTTTCAGTAGTACCATAGTAGTTGGAGGAAGGACAGGCATAAACCTTCATTATTAAGTAGGTTAAGAAATAGGTTTTGCAATTTCCTATGCCTAATAGGAAGCAGGTGTATTAATTTCTTCTACAATTAAGTACACACACAAGGCCTCCTGGGCTTGAAACGGTGTTTATAATTTGACTACCACAGCTGCCAGGGAACCCTTGTGCCAACTTACAAAATATAATGGAGTTTGGTCAATATTTGTTACTTCTGGTTTTCATAGGTAACATTTAGTTTTTTAACGAGTGGGATGGGAACGTTGCACACAGCAATGTACTACAGATGAGACGAGTTAGGACGTGTTACATTTCAAATATTTTTAAAATTAACTTTGCTTTAAAATGAAAAATAAGTCATCTTTTCTGTTCCTTCTCCTCCTCACCCTTCCTGAATCATCTGTTCTGATCTGTAAAATTGCAGTTGGCTGCTGCGTATTATTTCATACACTAGCATGTTGATAAGGGTATAAAGAGAATAAGTGCAAAAGAACTTGCACAAACTCCTTGAATGGAGTAAACCAGGACATAGGTGTATATACTCAGTGAAAGAAATAAATACAGTGTATTTAGGACCTGATTGTGCTTGGAGATCTACGCAGACAGACCCTTTCACCTGGCTGGTGACTCATGAGATAACCATTCTCAGAAAAGACCATTGACAAAATTAAGAACAATTAGTAATCAAACAGGGCACTTGAACAATATGTTTGCTCAACGACTATACTCTAGTGGGAGTAGCAGAATAGGGAGAAGAGGGTACAGCATCTAAGGAAGTTTCCAATGGTTGCATGGCTTATCAGCAGCTGGCCAAGGAATGAAATTCATCTCCTTGTCGGCTGAACCCCAGGATGTTCAGACTGGGATATAGTGGTTCCAGCATTAGTACCTTTTAAGTCCCCTGGAGTATTCAAGAGATTTCCACAATAGTAGCTGGAGGCCAGGAAGGATAACTTGGTCACCAAAAATGGCACTGTACACCAATATTTAGACAAACAGAAGGAAGAAGAAATGTTAAAGTATGCTAGAGTTGCTTCAGTTGGCTCTGTGGTGTGTCACGTTTTATCCATCGTTTTTGTGTTTGGTACACGAAACGGCGAAATCCACAGTTAAATATGACATGTGGCCAGAATGATTTTTTAATTTATTTTCAACTATTTTGTCTGTAGATTGTTCAGAAACTTGCATGTTGTACTACTTAAACAAACCATAACTGATAGTGTCTAGATTCTTTTGTGTGAAGATTTAATGCCATCAGCTTTAACAGATAACAGTTATGTAATCTGATTGTAATTTAATTTTTATTTCTCTAATGGTGGTGGGTCACAGTGCAGGAGGGTTGATGCCAAAAATGTGTCTGTCATATTGTTTGATGCATGCTGAATATCAGTGGGATCTTAGGCTTTGAAATAGTTTGCGGAAACAGAGTTTTTCTCATCTTGCAGTTACCCTGCATGAGAGAAGGGAGAGTGGCCTATTGAGAAGTCTGACAAGGACACAGGGCGGCTATTCCTGTGTGCTCCTGATCAAGCCGCTAGCTCTTTCTCCCCAGATGTAGAAAAATAGGTTGTGTTTGCCCATTAGGGTGTTTTTTTTTTTTTTTTTTTAAATATTCTAAAAATATTTTGAAATCCCTGTCATTAGTATTTATGGAAGTACTTTGAGGTTCTCAAAGGCACGTGCCAAAGGAATACAGCCTATTAGCTGGTCTGTTTTGTGTCACATAGGGATCTTGGCTAGCTCACTAGATTTCAAATATTTTCAAGCCATAGTCTGCCAGATGCTCACTGAAACATAGGGAACAGCTAAGTTGTCTTTTTTCCCAGTGCTTCAGCTTGCCTAATGAATCAAAAATAAAGGTAACTGAATATATTAAATAGAATAATTGCAAAAAATGAATTATGGATTAGCACTGAGTTGACCCAGATATGTTGGGGGACAGGATGGAAACTTTGTTTTAATTATTGCCTCCTTGCACGTAGTTATCACAGCAAGCATTCTGGTAGATAATGCACTAACAAGTAGATACTTCTTGCATATTCTCTTAAAAGTGGTCTCGGTGATTAAACACCATAAATGATACGAAGAAGTGCAAAATTATGTAATGGTTCACCAAGTTTGAGTTGGGATCTCTAGACATAAAGGCCACTGTAATAAACCACTGAGGACCTCACCTATGAAGGTTTTTTTCCTTGCATTATTGCTATTGCAAGAGACCATGAAGGCTGGTTGATACACTCTCTGAGATTTCCCCACTTGCTAAATTGCAGAACCAGGTAAATTTTGAAATGCCAATACTGCACACTCTAAATGACTACTGAAAAACGTCTTTCCTCTCTGATAGTCTTCAGTACCATTCATTAGACAGCTTGCAGGATCTGCTTAAAAAGAACTTTCCTTTCCACTTACCTGAATGGTAAAGCCGTTACTGTCATAATCCACTTTCTTTTCCAGCAAGTCATTGAATAGAAGTCTAAAATTTGCTTCATTGTACTATCAAAAATGCCTTGTTCAGAAGATTTTCCAAGCAGTCTGCTGATAGTTTTATATTTGATTTATTTCTTTATCTCTGCTTAGATGTTGTGATAATAAAAATGCCAAGCAAAGAATTTTAAATTTATGAGATTTAATGTGGATTTCTATTCATAAATTTCTGAGAAATAAATCTACCTCCTGAAATCCATACATTTAGTTACTTATAATCTATACAAGTTTATTTTATTGACGTATTTTGCAAAAGCCTTGACAATTTTGCTGCTTTGTATTTATTTGTTTTTAATAGGTATTGTCTTTTGATGCCTATTTTGAGGAAGAAGTGCCTGACAAAAATCAAGAGCTATATCGAATCAGACATTGTAAAATATACTTCTACCTTGAAGATGACACAATTCAGGTGATTGAACCCCAAGTGAAAAATAGCGGCATAACTCAAGGTATCTATTTTTAATAGCACTCCTTTTTTTTCCCCTTTGTATCTTTCTTCAGTACAGTCTTGGTCCATTCTAATGGATACATAACGTGACTTCTTATAGTTAAAAAGGGCTGTAAGTGAACAGCTATAATTGTCTTTTCCTGTTACAGATCATAATGTGAACTTTTTTATTGTCTTAGTTTCTGAAGATGTAGGTTTTGTAAGGCAGAATCCCCTCCCGCAGTCACACGTACAATTTTTTCTCTGATATAGCTGTTTGAAATCATATGATAGTGGGCCTATTGTCAGTGTTGTGTCACTTCTGCAAAAACAATTTGTGTTCTAGATCTCCATTCCTGAGCCTGGTTCTTCCCATCTTGGCATTGACAGTAAGTTAGAGAACTTACAAAGAACTTACAAAGCTGCAGCTTTGTAATTGTTCATTAGTATTACTTACTTTAACAATGCTGCAGTATCTCTGCTGTTGTTGAAGGAGAGCGCCTTTTGTGCCTTTCGCTGTTGGTTCTTTTCTGATTAAAGTGCCCTTGGCACAGTAATTTTTCCTTGATGCCTCTAAGTTAAGAAGCTGCCTTGCCCCAGTGTCACATCACTGCGCTTGGGCCATCCTGAGGACTTCTAGAGGAGGGTTTACTGAGCTGAGTTACTGGAATATTAATGGACTTGGTTTACATTAAGAAAATGTGATTTAGCGGTCAACATCCTGTTGCAGAAGGGGAGCACAGCTGCTGTTTCTTGGTGTTTCTGGGTCACTGCCAGAATTAAAAAAGTTTTCAAGGGATATAGTCCAGATAAGCAGGATGTCTTGGGATGAGTATCTTGGGATGACTGCGCCTCCCAGTCCCCAAAGATATTTTGTACATTCTGGTGGACCTTAGCACAGCAATTTTCAAAAATAAGTTAACCATTTAACTACCGTATTCTTTTCCATGATGAGCAGATGCTATCAATTCCTCTGTCTACAGAGTAGGATAATATTTAAAGGTGTTACGTGCGTCATTACTGTTAGACCTGGGGTAAAATTACCTGTGAATCTTTTCTTAAACCAGTACTTCAGGCCCTGCTCTCCCTGTGTTGAGTGTTTCTTCTTGCCAGAAATCTTATTGGCTCTTCAGCA